GAGACACAAAGAGAAGGTCACGTAAAGATAGGAGCAGAGATTGGGATTATGAGTCTGCAAGTCCAGCCAGCGGCGGCCAGCAGCCACCAGAAGTGTAAGAGGCAAGGAAGGATTCTCCCCTAGAGGCCTCAGGTGAAATGCAGCCCTGCCGACGTCTTGATTTTGGACTTCAAGTCAAAAGAATAGATTTCTGTTGTTTTATGTCACCTAGTTTGTGGTAATTTGTATGTCAGCCTTTGGAAGTCGATACGGTAGGAGATGAAAATAAGGCATATTTGAAGTTGTCAATGGGCAAGTTATGTTATACAGACTCATGAAAGTGTATTTTCTAAGACTTGTGCATTTATTATATAAAACCAAGTAAGGAATCTTAAAAACTCACAAATAAATGTCCCTATGTATTTAAAGCCCTGAGAAAAGTTGAAGAGACACAGAGATAGAGTGTGTGTTTGTATCAGTCAGATTTATAAAATTTAAATTTTCCTCTACGGCCATGCTACCCTGAACAAGCCCGATCCTGTCTGATCACGGAAGCTAAGCAGGGTCGGGCCTGGATAGTACTTGGATGGGAGACCACCTAGGAAGACCAGGTGCTGTAGGTGTCAAAAAAATAAAAATAAAAAAAGTAAGGGATTGTAAACTGACAAGGTCTTTGCAATCTGTGAGGTCAACCAAGGGTTGCCTCACCTAAAAAAATATAAATAAATAAAAATAAATTAAATTTTCCATAAGATAATAACTTAAAAAATGATACAAGTTAGTTTTATTTAATATTAATACAAAAAAAATTGCAATTCTTTCTTTGAAAATAGTTATTGGTAGAGTCTTACCTGATGCTTTTCTTATCCCAGGACCTCAGTCCCATGCCACATTTATAATTACTTTGCGACCAGGCTGATTTTATTTTATTTTTTAGTTTATTGTCTCTAACATTTATGATCTAAAGCTAAATGATTTTTCGGATCTTAGATCTAAAATTGGTACTTCATGTATTACAACCCCAATAAATGGACTTTAAAGATGCTCATTCGTATCCCATCCTTTTCTTTTCAAGATGGACTTTCTTTGAATAGATAGCTGTTATATGGAGCATATTCTTATTTGAAGCCCTAGGGTTTTAAACAGTAAGATAAACAGTAAGAAGACTCTGGAGTTCTTTATCAAGAATGCTTAAATTATCCCACCCCTGAGAGCAGCTGTTTGTTTCTGGAAATGAAATGTGGGTCCTGCCTTGAGGTGGGATGGGTAGCAGGATCAGAGAACGATGGAATTATCTCTGGGAAAAAAGCAGCCAGCTGGTTATACAATACTTAAAAATGTATCATTTAAAGGTAAAATGGCAAGCTGTTTCACCCCCAGAGTGACCTACTTTTAAAACATTTTTAATTGTCTTTGGGGAAAAGACATTTTGAATCCAAATTATGCAGTTACTTGTTTTGTTTGCTTAAACAATCTAAGAATCTGTCAGAGGCTGAATGTTGGGAGTGGGAAATAACAGGAAGAAAACGCAAATGAGCCGACACTGAGGTTGGTGCTTCCTACAGGGCCTTCCGTTGGTGTGTGTGAGGCATTGGCATCTGGACGCCTGTGACGCCTCCATAATTGGAAATAAGAGCAAAGGTCTTCACTTTTAGCCTCTCACTGTTACTGTGATTGTTTTGAACTTTACAGAGTAAAGATTTTTCCCTATAAGTTGATCAGTTTGTCAGTCAAGTCTCGTTACAGAGGAGATATGGATCAACTCCTCACCTATGTGATCTCAAAAGTAGTACAGCGACCCTGGGATAATGATACAGTAGGATGTAATTGAAACTCTCTGGGGACTAGTATGTTATATCGTTTTTCTTGTATATAATTCTGGAGTGACACTAGAGCTACTTTTTAAAAATCTTTTATATTTTGATGATTTATTCCGTTCAGGTCCCCGGTCACCTCTTCCTACATTCCCAGATAAAATTTAATTTCTCTCTTCCCCAGAGAACGCTGAGAACCACAAGGGACCTTAGATAAGACCATTCGGTCCCAACATCTTAACAAGCAGCCGATGCTACAAAATGCGAGTTGTTAGACCCACGCCAGGCGGCGTCGGGACCAGGTTTCTCTGTGCCACGCTGCCCTTTTCTCCAGCTCGACTTCTTGTTCTCCAGCCTCAGCTTCATCCGCAACTGCTGACATTTCTAAGGGAAACGCTACTTCACTCAGGGCTTTTGTTCCTACTGCTCCACTGAAATGCCTGGCAATTGTGGTCACCAGTGTTCTACATTTTGCCAAGTCTAATGGTCGGTTTTCTGACCTTGGTTTGTTCTACTTCTCAGCAGCGTTTGACACGTCTTCCTAAGCACTTTCTTCTCTAGGTTCGTGGGCGCACATCTCTCCCTATTTCGCTGACAGCTTCTCCTCTGCTAGACTTCTGAGCATTGGAACACCCGGGGCTCCATCCTTGGCCTTTTGTCTTTTTTGTTTGAAAAATCTCTCAACCATTCTCATTGCTGTCAATATCATCTTTATGCCATGATGCCTAAATCTGTATCTCTAACCTCGTCTTTCCCTGGAGCTCAAGACTCATAGTCAGCTGCCGGCTTTCATTTTTTCATTCGGCCGTTTAAGCTGTCTCAGACTTAACGATGAGCTGACTTTTCCGTCCCGTTCACCCCACAACGTCCTTATTTCAGTAAACACTACCACCATCTACCCCCTCAGTTGCTCAAGCCAAAAACCCAGAAACGCCTTTGAGCTT